TTGAGAAATGAGAGTTGAGTGAAGAAATGAAGAAGAGGGGATGTATTTATAGTTTTAGAAAAGGTTAATTTTGTAAATTGAAAAAAGGTTAAATTTTAAAGAAAAAAGAGGCTATTAATGCAATTAACCCTTTGGGCAACGGATCCGTGCCAGGTCTTACGTTGCCAACGGTTAGTGGGCCCCACTTAATTCAAAAATATTTAAAAAAAAAAACAAAACAAAAAAGATTGTACCGGGCCGGGCCGGTTTAACCGGTACACAGTACTGTTCACGTGGACCGGGTTTGACCGGTCCGATTAACCGTTACCAAAATTTAAATGGACCAACCCCCTCTACCCCTCCTACCCAGCCTCACCCGGCCCCCTATGTACCGGGCCGGTCCGGTTTCGATTTTAACCGATCTGGGCCGGGCCGGTTACGGGTCAACCCGGCCTATTAAACACCTTTAATATAAACCAAAGCAGCATCTATATTCGGCGATTCACCATAACCACTAGAAGTACTTTTTGCATCTCATCCTTTTAAATTCTTGCACGCCCATGAAAAAGGTTGATCCAAATTGTCCATAATAATACAAAGACGAAAGAAAAAAATAAGTTAAAGTGTCCCTCCCTAAAAAGGATACTCTAGTCCAAAACATCAGCATCCTTCTAGAAGCTTGCATTCTTCTTTTAATTTGCTTGTGACTTGTTGTAATTCGAAATATCTAGCTAAAAAGTAATCTAGCTTCCACATCCCATTGAATTCAATTCACATAAGGGTCCCTCCATTTATATATATGTATATATATATATAGTTTGGCATTGTCTGTTTTCTCTTTTTGACAAAAGTATTTGAGGCGCATGTCCCACATATTGTCATTTGATAGGCAATATATGGTCATTGCCGGTCCGACTTGCAAATTAAAGTGTATTTAATAAGTGCATACATCATAATATATGGTTTCAACCATATGTTAAGTGATATCTTAATTATTGACATTTAAAGTCATGATGCATGTTATAGATACTAGCTAGCAAATGAACTAGTACAATATTTGAAAATGGAAGGCTTAGAAGATCGATGATGTCAATGCTTTGAGTAAATGAAGATACATAGCTCTTTTTAATTCAATTATTCTACAACAATATAACGTAAAGAGTTGACTTTATATAGAGATTGGCCAAAGATACTTACTTTAGGGGGTTTGTCTACGTTCATTACGTAGGCAATTAACCCCACAATCATAATGAACTTTTTCCCCCTTCTAGAAGCTAATGCCATGGTTTACGCCTTGTATATATCCAGTGATCGAGTCCTATATATTGTCACTTTCAGTTACGTAATTATAAACAGCTGATAATACTCGAAAATAAAAAGGAAATAAAAACACTTAGCGCTCATAGAGCACGAGTTGATTACATCCTCTTTAGTTAAACATCGGTTCCATGCTTCTGTCGATTGTTTGGATAAATTCCAAACATTTATTAATGTATGTTAGCTTTATAGCTTAGCTTCTTAAGTCGTAATTCCTCCGTTCCATAATAAATTACCATTTTATCTTTTTATTTTGGTCCAAAATAAGTGTTCATTTACATAATCAAGAAGGAATTAATTTTATTTTTCTAAAATTTGAACTTATTTACATATTCCAATGTGTCAAGGTAACAATTAATTAAAGTTAGTTTAGTATATATATATATATATATATATATCTTTTTTTTCTCTAGGAGTTTGTATTTCTTTAATCAGTGTGCCAAGAATAAAATGGTCATTTATTGTGGACCCGAGAGAATATTGTGTTTGGCTAGGCCATATATATTTGGTCTATATAAGATTAATTCAGATATTTGTTGTCGAGAATAGTGGACCAATCACTATGTATTAGAGCAAATCCATAGCCAAATTGCCATTGGCCAGAATTGCCAGTAGCCCATATTCTTGGTCTGTGTATATGTGTTTTACTCTTTTCTTCTTCTTAATTCCAATTTCTTTCTGAGTTTCAATAACGCCAAGAAAATCGTACGTACAAAATTCACAATTCCTTTTGCTATTGAAAACTAATCCTCTGATTCTGTTTATATAAGTGTTTGTTTAATTAGTGTTGACTACGTTCTGTATCCAACTCTTTGCTTCATTTATTCGCCTTTGCTAGACAACAAGAAAAGAATAAACACAAAAAAGAAGAAGAAAATTGCCGCCGAAAGAATTCATCTTATGTTGACAGCCGTTATATGTTGAAACTTGTAAGATGCTCTCCCTACGTACCTTAACAAGACAATATTATTGAACTTACAAAAACCAAGGGTGATAATAATCCAGTCGCAGGATGTAGGTACCTCTTTATTTAGCATTCCAAAAACCATCAAACTTTTTTGTATTACACTAAGTAGATTATTCATTCACCATTTATTTAATTTGAAAATAGCCAAACTCAACAAATCCGTCAAAGGCACAAAAGAAAAAGAACAAAATACCAGCACTATCTAACAGCCCCAAAACATCACACAAACGGGGTTTCTCATACTTATAGCCTGTTTGGCCAATTTTTGTTCGCCAAAAGTATTTTTTTTTTCTTCTCAAAATTAAGCTATTTGGCCAAACTTTTAAAAGAAAAAAAAATATTTTGAATAGAAAAATAAATAGTTTTTGAGAAAAATATATTTAGAAGTGTTTTTAAAGGGATTTTTTCATTACTATACACTATTTGAAACTTTATTACTCTTAATGTTCATGTTTAGCTAATTACCCGGCGTAAACAAATTTTGTTTACAAAATATATACAATCCACCTTAAAAGGCTCCCAAATCCATTATTTGTGCCTTCAATCAAGGGATTTAGTTACATCCTTTTCCTTTTTTTTTTCTCCTCTCCCCTTTCTCTCTAGATCTTCCATTATCTTTTTTATACAAAATTACTCGGAGGTTGTTCCTTTTTTTTTCTGGAGCTAACTCCTCGAAACAACCGCAACTTTGTTCGTTCTTCTTTTTCTTTCTGAATTTTGAGGACATTCTTTTCCTTTTTCACACAGGAATTTTGGGCGTCTTTATTGGGAATGACTCTTTCTAGCCATTTTAAAATAATAGCCGAAAAAATGTATACTTTTTGTATATATATACATTCTGTTAGCTATATTACACAAATTTTATACACTTTTTTGACTATATAAATAATTTCTGAAGCTACTAAAAATGAAAAAAAAAACTCGTCTTTATTGATACTGGTTTTTGTTAACCAAAACTATGGTTACTTATGTGTAATGTTAGTGTAGTTTTGAGTTAGACATACATCTCCATAAGTTCGTGAGGACAAATTGAGTGGATTTGAGTTTTCATTAATGAATAATGGTCCCTCTCTTGGTTCCTATTGTATCATATCTTCTACTACTATTTACTTAGCAAATACGAATAGAATAGCTAACTTCACTTTCAAAGTTCCAACAGCTATTACGACGTGTTTATTTTTATACATTATTTCTACACAATTAAATACAACTACAATATCATACAATTTTTATATAAAATTTATACAATATGTCTTTTGTATCTGATTTATACATAATAAAATAAATTTTATACAACTTATCTACAACTTTCACACATTATTTCTACCCAGTTAAATACAACTACAATAACATACAACTTAAATACAAAATTTATACAATATGTCTTTTGTATCTGATGTATACATAATAAAATAAATTTTATACAACTTATCTACAATTTTCATACATTATTTCTACTCAGTTATATACAACTACAATATCATACGACTTAAATATAATTTTTATACAATGTTGTTCAACTTTCATACAATAGTTTAATGAATAAAAGAAAATTATATAAACAATTTTTCTACAATTTTACTATAACTTCTGCAGTATAATGTATGTCATGTCGTCTTCTTCTTCTTCTTCTTCTTCTTCTTCTTCTTCTTCTTCTTCTTCTTCTTCTTCTTCTTCTTCGAGTTTTAATCTGAAATTCAACCAAAACCAAGTCTAATCTTCACCAAAACCCCTCAAAATTGAGATATAAACTCCAAACCATATTCCCAATTATTTGCAACAACACCCAATCCAAACAAATAATGATTTTTGAAAACCCAAATTTGAATTCAAAGCTTCAAAGCTTTTTAATGGCTGTCAATTATGGAATTGCTGTTCTCTTTTTCTTTGCTTTACATTACTGAAATTTGGGATTGAGAGATAGAGAGAATCCTCAATTCTTTGCAACAACATCTAATTCAAACAAATAATATTTTTTGAAAACCCAAATTCGAATTCAAAACTTCAAAGCTTATTAATGATTGTCAATGGTGGAATTGCTGCTCTCTTGTGCAAAATACGTTGGGGGGGATGTGGAGAGAGAAACATGGGGAAGTGGAAGATATGTTAGAATAATTTTAGGACACTAATTAGTATCATTAATTCCCTTAAAATGTACATAAATGATAATTTGGTATATAAAATGTAATTATAATAAACTTGAGTAGAGATGGTAATATAGTTTCATATAATGTATAGGAATATAAAAATTCCGTTTTTAAAAGCTTGGACAAAAACTAAATTTTCTTATTGATTAGTTCAAAAACAAACTTTTCTTACCAAAAATATTTTGTAAAGCACTTTAAAAATGGAATTTTCAAAATATAATAACTTTAGATGTTTGACAAACAGACTAATATTCTGGTCCTTCTCCTTCTAGAAGAACTCAAAAGTGACCTATAATAATATTGTATCATATTGCAGCATCACCGTAACAACTAACCCAACTTCTCGTCCTTCTTACGTAATTATTTCACGCCCATAAAATGACTGGTCCAAAATGTCACAGAAAAAGTCCAAACACTAAAGAAAAGTAGTATGCGTCATGGTCCCTCCCTAAATTGTATGCTACTCTAGTCCCACATCACTTTCCTTCTAGAAGCTTGCTTTCTCCTTTTCCTTGTATTTTTTTTTTTTTTGAAATAACACACGGATATTATATATATATATATATAACTAAGCAAAATTATATAGTCATGGCAGAAAGTTTGAGGGCACCAACGTTACCTATAAATGTCAAATAGTTACAGACATTGCTAGATAAAGTTCTAATGCCATTACAAACTCCATGTTTGTCCTTTGTAATTTCTTGCTCAACAAAAAAAGGTGGGCGTGCATGGTAATAACATTTAGACGTTGAAACATTTTTGGTGGCTTGCTTGGCTAGTGTATGGGCCATCATATTTCCTTCTCTAAAATTATGCTTCAGCGTTTGGATCTTCAGCTGGTGCATGTGCATTAGCCATCTGCATTCACAAACAACATTAGAATAGTTAGAGTTATTTTCGTAAATGAGCTTAATAACCTCAATGGAATCAGTTTCAATTTCTATCCTTGTGAAGTTCATGTCTCTTGCTATTTTTAACCCTTCTAGTATTGCTTGTAGCTCTACATGGATGATGGATGGGAGAAATTGCTTTGCATGTTTTATGGAAGCCTACAATCCAGTCACCTTTGTTGTTTCGAAAGACTCCTCCAAGTCCTACCCTGCTACTGTTGTTATCAAAAGCACCATCACAGTTTAATTTAATAAAGCCTTTGTCAGGCTTTATCCAACTAATTTCTACATTGATTGTTCTTTCCACAAAAGGATTTCTTTCAGTGAAGAAAGTAAATTCCCAAGATGCATGTATGACCTTTCTTATATCCAGGTTGTTATTTAAGTTGTTGATGTTATTATTGTTCCTGTTTTTTCATAGTTCCCATATACAATAGGGAAATATAGTAATCCACTTTTCAGAAATTGTAATTTTTAATAAAGAAATTTTGTTAAGTTTGCTAGCCAGTTTTTATTATTCTCAATATCCAGAGGTGGTAAGCCCATTTTATCCCAAAAGTGCATTGAGATAGAACAGCTAGTAAAGATGTGTTGTATGTCTTCAACTCCTGCTCTACAGATTGTACAGTTGGGATCAATATTGATACCTATTTTAGCTAAGTAGGCCCGACAAGGAATACGGTTGTGCATGCATTGCCATAAAAAAATTAATTTTAACCGGGCAATGGAGTTCCCAAATCCATTTAAAGGGTCTTGTGGTAGGGTCATATTCATGGATTAGTTTATAGCAAGACTTAGTCGGAAAGTTACCTGAAGAATTAGGATGCCAACTTATTTTGTCAGTTGTTGAACCTTTGCCAGGAGTAGGAGTAGAGAGGATGTTGTTGAGGATATTGTCAGGTAGTTCAAAAGAGGTGACCTTTCTATTCCATTCATTCCTCTGAATGAGGTTTTTTAAACAAAGGTCCTGATCATTTATATTGAGGGGACCTTCAATTAGGCTTCTAAGTGGTTTATAATTGTAAATCCAATTGTTGTCCAAATGTTAATATTGGAGTTGGTACAAGGGTGCCATAGAATTCCTCTATTGCAAACTTTCCAACCTTGCAAAATAGATTTCCAGATAAAGGAGGAGTTATGTATGGTATTCCTAGTGCCATATTTGGATAGCAAAATTTGACCCTAGGGAGATGAAGTATTATTAAGGAGTCTCCAAACAAGATTAGAAAGAAGGGCTAGATCTTTTGACTTTGCTTGATGAATCCCTAATCTTCCCTCAATTTTATCCCTAATTCCTTTTCCTTGTATATCTACTTGCACTTCGGAATATCTTAGCTAAAGTTACTCCAAGAATAAATCTATTACTCCTCCGTCCAATTTTTATTTTTATTTGTCACTTTTAGCATACTAAAAGAAGACAAAAAAATCCTTGTTATACTCACAATATTAATTACTCATTTCAAATTATTTTCTCAAATCCATTAAAAATATCCATCAATTAATATGGGTATCATGGTAAATTATGTACTTCATTTATTATTTTTTAAGGGGTGTGCAAAGTCTAAGTGGACAAGTAAAAATAAACGGAGTATTATTTAGAAAATCAAACAAAATTTTCTTTGACCATATTTTTTATAAATAGTTTCCTCCAACATCATCACAAACGAAGATAAAGAATTGCGTAGATAGGAGGACCAAACGAACCAACCCACTTGTCCTGATCGGAACAATTGAAGAAAGAAATAGAATTGTGAATCTTTTCCCTTTGAATTGTTAACTATTGTGACTTTCTAATGTAATTTTTAAATATGTAAATTTCATTTTAAAAAACGTAAAAATTGCACGAGGCGGCCTATTTGGTCGTACACATTTAACCTATACCCATTTTTTTTTAAATTTTTAATTTGTACACACTTTTTAAACAACTTTAGCCCCCTTTCTCCTCCTCCTTCTCCAATACTCGCACCATTATAGAAAACCAGCTTTGCCATGAGAAACAAAGGCTTCTCCAATACTCGCACCATTATAGAAAAAAATAAACAGTGATGTCTCTGTACTTGTAAGGTCCAAAATTGGTGTTCTTGACACCAAATTCAGCATTCATTGTAATGTTGAATGAAGAGTTTTCTGCATTTTTGGACAACACATCAAAGGTAGCGGACTGGACGTGAAACTTGGGAGTTCTGACTTTCATTATGTATAATGAAAGAGAAGAGAGTGATTGCAATTTGAAACAGAGTAGAGAGTGCAACAAAAATTAAGAGTTTCTTGCGTTTCTTTTTTGCTCAGCTCTTTGGATTGTATGGAGTTGGCTGATTCTTCAGCTTGCTTTGCATGTCCGTTAATCTGAAGTTGATATTCCCCTTCTACTGCCATTTAGTTTCAAGTCAAATTTTATTTCAAAAATTTCAGCTTATATAGTGCTGAAGTTTTTGAAAAAGCTTAGCCAGGACAAAAAAAAAACTTCAGCGTTTTTAGTGCTGAAGTTTTTAAAAAAGAACTAAATAACTTCAGCATCACATAACTCAGCTACTAGAATATTTAAGTTCAACAAATAGAGAATAAAACTTCAGCACTAGAATGCTTAAGTTCAGCAATTACAAACAAAAACAAGTTCATCAAATAGAGAACAAAACTTCAGCGCTAGAATGCTTAAGATCAGCAAATAGAGAACAAAACTTCAGCACTAGAATGCTTAAGTTCAGCAATTACAAATAAAAATTTTCAGCACACTTGGTCTACTTCAGGCCCGGCTACTAGAATGCTAAATTTTTGCGTGATTGTCTTTGTTACTTCACCCGGTATGCTGAAGTACCGCAAAAAAATGGATGCGCGTACAATTTTTTTTGCAAAACGAACACAAATTAAATCGTTACCCAAAAAGCATATACATACAAATTCCCCGTAAACTTTACAACATATTGAAACGGAAGGAGTATAGGTTCCACATCCCATTGTGTATGTCCTTATGGGTCCCTCCACTAATACTTTATTCCTTGTCTTTGTCTTTCTCTTCTGCTTGTCATATAAAATCCAGTAACTTATCTTAATTTCGCTGTGTCTCCAAGACTTAAAAGCCATGGAGCTAATTCCCAGTCTTCCTTACGACATAGGACTAGAATGTCTTATCCGCGTTCCATACGATAATTTCTCGTCCGTTACATCGGTCTGCCGGAATTGGAAACTCCAAATTGAGCTTCCAGAGTTTTGGAAGCTAAGAAGAGCTACTGGCTTCACCCGCCAAGTAATCTTAATGGCCCAAGCCCAAACCGATGACCCGAAACTAAAAGTCGGGTTATCCAAGTACTCCGCTTTTCCAGTTTACAGGCTCACGCTTTATGAGCCGGATTCGGGTTATTGGGCCGAATTACCACCGCTTCCTGGCAACTCCGATGGGCTGCCGATGTTTTGCCAGCTAGTCGGAGTTGGGTTGAGCTTAGTGGTAATCGGCGGCTGGAACCCTATTACTTGGGAGCCTTCTAACGCAGTTTTTGTTTATAACTTTGTGACTGCCACGTGGCGACGGGGAGCTGAAATGCCGGGTTGCCGGAGATCCTTTTTTGGCTGTGCGTCGGATTCTGAACAGACGGTGTACGTTGCAGGTGGACATGACGAAGAGAAGAACGCGCTTAAATCGGCGATGGCGTATGACGTGGCAAGTGATGAGTGGGTCCCTATGCCTGACATGGCAAGCGAACGCGATGAATGTAAGTGCACTTTTTATCACGGCAAATTCCACGTCATCGGCGGCTATGACACGAGCATGCAAGGCCGGTTCGGAACAACTGCCGAGTCATTTAATACTTCCACGTGGCAGTGGGACCCAGTCGCTGAACATTTCTTCGATTCTGCCACGTGTCCGAGAACTTGTGTTGAGGGTGGTGACGGAAAATTATACTTGTGCCGGGACGGTGATGTGCTGGTACTCCGAGATTCCACGTGGCAAGTTGCGGCGGCGATTCCGCCGGAACTCCGGAACGTAGCCTTTGTGACAGCGTGGCGGGGTAAAATTCTGATGACTGGTTCTATGGGATTTAATGAGCCCCACAACACTTATATTCTGGATTTACAGAATTACACGTGGACAAAAATGGATGCTCCGGTAAACTTCTCCGGCCATGTTCAATCTGGCTGTTGCCTCGAGATGTAACATTTTTAAGGTTTTACCACTTTGTGTTGATTGTACAGTTAGAAAATTAGAAAGATTTTGCATATAGTGTTTCATTTGCCAACTTTAGTAAGTGTCCAATTTGCCACTGTACTACTTGAAATTGAGAAACTTTGACTTCAGCTACACTTTTTTGACCTGCCTTTATGAGAAAATTCTGTTTGTAAAGAATAGGGTAATTTTTAATCATAGTAAAAAATAAAGAGGAAAATTTGAACATTTTTCATCTAAGTAGCTTCAAGATTTATGAATGAACCCAAACTATAACCCAAATTATGATTTATGAATGGACCTAGGCTGGGGCAGAGCTCGGGTTGCGGAAGGGGTTCAAAATGCCTTTTTGCCGAAAATTACATTAAAAAAAAATTAAATTAATTTTTATGCATAAATAGTAGATATTGAATCCCCTTGACTTGTAGGTGTGTTTACTTTTAATACTCGAAATTCTCTCAGTAAAACTCTTGGCTCCGCCACTGAACCCAGAGGTAAGATTGAATGATTTCAAATAGTAGAAAAACAAGTTTAAACCTTTTTCCCTCACGTTTAATGTGATGGCCTTCAGAAAGCCAACTGATGACCATATTTCAAGCAAATTGGACAACTTGGCAAAGTAAAATCTAAAAAAAGTCGGATCTCTATCAGTAAACACTGACTAAAACTGTACAAAAGACGTCGACTCTTAATCTGGTTTTCTCGGGGAAGAAGATAGTGGAAAGACCAACAGCAACAATACTGGAAAATTGTACAATCAAAAAAGAATGAAAAATGCCTTCTATCCAGTGTTATTTTATTCGCATGCAGTCGTATAATACTTCTCTGAAATTCTTGTACATATGCCTCTTTAGGTACATATCTTCTACCTTCTTTCTTCCATTGCTTCCCATTCGCCGCCTTTCTGAGGGGTTATTCAGCAAATACTGAAGATTCTGGGCCAGAACTTGAGCGCCTGGACGTCCCAAAGGATGGAGAAGACCTGTTACGTTATGTTCAACGATCTCCTTCGTGCCCCCAGCATCTGTTCCCAGCACCTGTATCAAAATCATACGCCAAATCCAGTTGTTTTAGCCCTATCTTTAATAATGAGGTGATTTAGTAAGGAAAACACAACACAGTTTTAGATTCTGTGATGATTAAATCTAAGAATGCATGACACAGAGAACTGCCAGAGTTTCCTACTTACTCAAGATTCACAAATTTTTGCAGTTCTATACTTGAGTGCAGGTTTTGTATAGGCAACCATACCAACTAATCAAGAGAAGAGAATTCCAAAACATGACTGCTTTTTCGGGGACGCTATTTTAGTATTGCGTTCTGTTGTTTTTGTTCATTGTAAACATACCGACTAATTAAGAGCAGAGGATTCCCAAATATGACTGCTTTTTCGGCATGCAAGTACATGCATTATCTAAAGGTGACGACAATATACTATTGGCAGGACGGAATTGAGAATCTTACAGGAAGACCAAATGCCATTGCTTCAATTGTTACTCTCCCAAATGTTTCTCCAAGTCCCTGCAAAAATAGTAAACAACCGTTACATTAAAATGTGTAGCTAGAAATTGAACTAAGCAACCATGACTCAAGAAACAGAAGTATCAAATGAACCAGTACATTCTATCTTCTTCCCTCTAGTGAACTAGTCGTAAACAGAATAGAAAAATTCTTTTAATCCATGCCCTTTAGTACGACGCCTCATATACACCCAAGTTGAATTCATAAAGGGATACAAGCAAGCCAGCTAACCCAGCTTATCAATTTCATTGGGAGACCCACAATTTATACTGCTCAAATGCCATGACTTGGTACTCATTATAGCAAAAAGATTCATGTTGCTGCGTAATTTTTACATTCACTGAGAAATCTTTACAGGATAGCAGAGCCTTACTGTGCTTTCAATTCATTTCAATCTTAGATATCACCAATCATGAAGATAATTTAGATCTGCAGAGCATAGATATAATATAAAAACCCTGCCCTCTCTATCTATGTCTATTTACTTGACCTACATTCTTTTTTTTCGCTTCCAGCTGATTTACTCACAGTTCTAGCAAAAATCAGAATCTCTTTTCTTAGTACGTAACTTGATTCGTCAAAAAAAAAATATTGTTTCTTAGTTCTTCACTTCTCAAACTATATTTTTCTTTTTCAAAAAGTAAAACCATCATTCAATCGGTTATTTAATCTTGATATCTGTATATTCTTTTTTACGCCATCCATGTCTACTTACTTGACCTATATTATCTTTTTCTTTTTCATCTATCCAGTTCACTTGCCCTTCTTTCTAAAAGCAGAAACTATATTTCTTACTTTTTCATCTTCTCACTGTTACATAAACTTCCCTGTTACACTCTTGTTTAATATTTAATATCTAAAAATAGCATAGCCATTCTACATTTCCTGAAACTGAGCCGTAATTAAGTTAGATAGAGTAGTAAAGGCTCACCTGAGAATTCATTACATAAGCATCTGCAGCAGCATAAAGTGCAGCGACACGAGTGGTTGCTGGAGTCCATAGTACCGTGTTTGACAAGTTAGAATGCTGATTTAGAAAGTTGAGAAGCGCTTTAACGTAAGGCACCTTATTGCTCTTGGATCCAACTGAGCCAATAAGAACCTTAAGCTTCTCTCCCTGCTTTCCTTCAGTCACCGAGAAAAGCTTTCGAGTTCTGCTATCTTTGTCAATTCCAGCTTCATAGTTAACTCCCTTAATGAACAGCTGCGGTAGCTGAAACACTTTCCTTTTCGGGTTATTTTCCAAGGCAGAAGATTCGTTTTCCAGTTCACCAAATTGTTTCCAATTATGAAGCAATGCCCTTTTCTGATAAGCTTGATTTTTAACAGCAGATCCATTTAGAGGAGGAACTCCCTCAATCAGCAAACGTGTTGATTCAAGAAGCAGAAACTGACCCTTTCCAGGGTTTATACTACTCAATGACATGACAAGCATGTCATTGTCTGTCAACCCAATCTCTTTTCTAACAAAATTTCTCAGTAGCTGCCTCTTTTCCAGCATCTTCTCAGGACTGAATAGCGGGGTGCTCAGTGAGCACGGGATGCCTGCTACAAAAGCCAGTTCATCACTAATGGAAAGCGGAACCAGTGCGGGCTGGGTTTTCAGCTTTATATGTTCTTCCTCACACCATGCTAGCCAGCGTTTAGACTGTGATTCAGAAAGAAAGACAAGCTTTTTCACTCGGTTGAAAGCTAGCTTTGCCCGATCAAAGTATTCCCGCCGGTTTTCCATGATCCACCAAGCAATTTGACTTGAACCTAGCACAGTACGTGCCGCGTATTGTTCTGAAAGCGACATATTAATTGTCAGAAGTTAGCCAAGGCACGCAAAGAAAGAAAAGAACAGAAGCAAATTCATAGAGTTTATTACGGCTAAATCAAGGAAATTAAGACTCTAAAGCTAGCACAGCCAAAAGAAGAAAAAAACAGACTCTTGATGAAACAAAAGTGAATTGATCAATAAAGATCTATCAAGAAGATTGCATCGCAAACTAGAAAAAAAAATGGATCTTTTAATGAAATAATGAGAAGGTGAATAATATGCAGATCTACCAATTGAACATGATATGCTGCAGCTGTTCTATCGGTGAAGAAGAAGATCACAATACAAGCACAACTTGCCACATTGGAACTCTATAGCAGATAGATACAGTGATGATAGTATATGTGAAAGCGCTTACCTATCCATGACGCACACACTGCAGAGCCTGCAATAATAAGATCTGCTTTCATGGCCGTTTTGAAACTGAGGTCCGATTTGTCTTCTAGCACTTTGATCTTTCTTCTAGATAGTTCTGACATCAGACCACCCCTTCTGCTGAGAGGTACTACATAAACTGTGGCCCCACAGCTCAAAAGCTCAGTCGCCAATTCCAACATGGCAAGTGGAGCTCCAGTCATCGAGAGTTCATGGAGTATCAGCACAAACTTCCTAGACCAAACAAGACGTGCAAACTGACTTTTCCTATCGCAGGTTCCTGACCGCTTCTCAGGACTCCACTCCAAAATCTTGTCCTCTACTGACCCAAATGGACCAACAAGCAGGCCATAGGTAGTATTTCGTTTTGGTATTTCCTCTTCTTCGACTTCTGCATTATCATTTTTGACTTCCGCTACCACCTTCTTCTTACCACGAGTCTTCCTACGAGAAGCACGTGTAGATTTCTTGCTCTTCTTCTTAGAAGATGCAACCTTGTCCGATACCACCACACTGTTTTCCTGTTTGGCCAAGACGACATCCATGTCCATTGAACTGGCCTTTGTTTTATTACTTGGAGCCTTGATTGCTAAAGAATCCGCATTTGCAACTAGAACTCGTTCAACTTTTTCCTCTGGTTGAGAAGTTCCATTGCCTACATCACCTCCAGATCCTCCAAAAATGCCTTCCTTGTTGTCGCCATGAGCCCACCTTGACTGGACATAAAATCCTCCATATGCCCAAAGAGTAATTAAAAGCAGCCAAAGTACAATGCGGTTACTTCTAAACCACTGAGAACTGAAGGCATTGCTTTTACCATCTCTTCGCGGGGTACGTCCAGAGTTCAATCTCCTGAAGGAAGGTGATCCTCTAGGAGTTGACCTTCCAGATAATGTGGACTTCACGGGACCAGTCCTCAACGGTGACAGTCTTACTATATTCAGATCCTCCATTATTTGGACTATGTATGCTAAAAATGTTCATACAAGATTAATTTCATCAACAACGTCCCCAAAAATAGGTGCCAATTTCATGGTCAGCTATTGAGTTGAATAGCTTCTTCAATACCATACCTAACAAGTTTAACAAATTTCAGAGCCTTTTTGTGAGTACAAGAATGGTTTCTTTAATTTGCAGAGATTAAATGAACATAACTTGTAACATAATTCAGAATACTAATGCACGACCCATAAAATTGATTCGGAGAAATATAGTACTAATTACTTGTTTTTTTGCGGTTCCCTCGGCAAAAGAAAATAAACTACTACTAAATATACCTAGCTAACACTTGGGCATTCAAATCTTGGACTCAAATCTCAATACTACTAAATAAACAAAAAGTAAATGCTTCTTATGCAACTAAAGCAAACCCCTTCTTCAGCTCCTTTGGCAAACGAAATATTAAATAAATAAAAAAAGCTAAAGATTGACAACTTCAAGAAAATACTAACAAGATTGCTAAATTAAATGCTCATACATCAACAGTTAATCAACTAGCCTCAATCAGAATTAGCTAGGAAGATCAAAGACTAAGTAAAAATTATAAAAATACTTACAAAATTGAAGAAAATGATGACGTGAAGCAAGACAGAACAAGTGCCCTTCTCAGCTGAAAATCCAACTAAACTCTACTCTGAAAAATACTCCTCTGTTTCAAGATCTCCGTTTGAATTGGACAAAGAAATTGTTACGATGTGGATCTTCTTGATAAAACACGAAATAGTCAAAATGATTACTGTCAAAGTGAAAGAGACTCACTCTTTGTATTCAAGAAAATGGAGAAATGGCAAATGGGTATTGAAGAAGAGAAACTTAAGTTCAAGAGCAGTGCAAAAAAATGATGAGTACAGTCCCACCACAACAGAGACCCAAGAGAGAGAGAGACTAATGTCTGAAGAAAACTGAATTGAAGATCTTCTCGTTGTTTATATTTTCCGTTTTTGGGATATTTTTTCTTCTGTACCTTTTATTAATTTAATGAGGTAAGTGTCACGGTCACCGACGCTTAATCTTTGAAATGAACGGTTGAGATGTAAAAAAGACGTCACCTGTTTTTTCCCTTCTTTTTTTACACATAAAAAAATCGAAGCTGAAATTGCCTAAAGCTGCCTTTGGTAAGCATTGGAAGGAATAACTTCACATAAAACTTGACTATATATATTGTTAACTAAACTTTCAACTAGGAAAACTTCAGTACTACTATAACCCACATTACAAATCCTATAAACCTCTGCAGTACTTGTCACTGAACTAAATACTGAAATTTTTTTACACTAAGTTTATAATATGTAACTAGTCTAATAATATCTCAAGTTGATTGATATCGTACTGTTTTTACGTGATTAGGAAAAATTCTTTCCAATTGTTTGTTAAATGCCTAAATTTTGTAAAGAGCATTTTGGGCTAGTGTTTCACCAGGTCAGGATAGATAAGGGCTGAAGTGGCAAGCAATTTTTGAGAAAGTGTTTCAGCAGGTCAGAATAAATAAGGGCTGAAGTGGCAATTTCTGGTAAGATAAATTTGGTCTAACCAATCGTCCAATAAAGAAGCCAAGAATCGGTGTTTGACCAAAAATATGGGTGCTAAGATGAAAGTGACTTTGCCGCTAAATGGTGGAGACACCAAAAACATGGCTAAAACTTAAAAGAGAGAATTTTTGCTGTGTTAGTCAAACTTGCCTTTGTAATATATGATCCAATGAAACCACAGATAAAATGCTTCCAAACTTGGTTATGAATAAGTATCATTATTTGTAGAAATGGCGTGGGTAGCCACTGTTTAAGCTGGTATTTTACTTTTTATCCAGTATTTTTAATGCTTAGCAATAGTAGCTACTAGTTTATTAAAATTAATATGAAAAGACTGTATTACCCTTTTCTCCCCAAACGGAAATACACCAATTTGTCATTCTACCCAATTTGGTTTCCCCCTTTCTCTCTCACCTTTTGCTCTCCATCGTCTCTGCCAAGAGCAAACTGGAGTCTTTTTTTCCTTATAATTTTGCTTTCTATCCAACTCTTCCTCTCTTGATAGTATCCACAAGTTAAATACTGAAATCTCCTCCCTTTATATTTGTGTGAATGGCTTATATTTCCGTCAAGCTTTATATAGAGTATAAAAGATTTGAAAAATTAAATCAATTCAAAATCAAACCATTACTCCATTGATAGGAGCAATTTACAGGGGCGAAAATATTATGGTAGAAATGTCTTGAATTTTTCTCATTTTTAGTTTATTTTAAGGATAAGTAATGGAAAAGAAAAATGATTACAATTGCTAACTGAAAAGGAAGAGTCACCAAAGTTAAGGACATGTAGTCCTGAAGTCCTAAAATTAAATTCAAAAGTTAAGGACATGGTCCTGAACTTAGAGTTTCAAGTTCAAAAGTTAAGGAAATGTAGTCTTGAAGTCCTAAAGTTAAGTTCAATAGTTAAGGACACAAGTTCAAAAGTCAAGGACAAACAGTCCTTAACTTACAGTTACAAGTTCTAAAGTTAAGGACATGCAGTCCTTAACTTACAGTTACAAGTTCAAAAGTTAAGGACAATAGGTCCTTAACTTTAATTTCCAAGTTCAAAAGTTAAGGATAGACAGTCCTTAACTTACAATTACACGTTCAAAAGTTAAGGACAAGTAGTCATTAACTTATAGTTAAGGACAATAGGTCCTTAACTTTGACCTACAAGTTCAAAAGTTAAGGACATGTAACCTTGAAGTCCTGAACTTAGAGTTCCAAGTTCAAAAGTTAAGGACATGTAGTCCTGAACTTAAGCACAAAAGTTAAGAACATGAGCAGAAGGGTATTTTCGTCCGGCCAGTTAATGTTTATTAAAGCAGTGGTTAAATACTAAAGACATTTTAAACGGTGGCTTAAAAGTAAATATATGTGTTATTAGTGGCCAACCGTGCACTTCTCCCTCATTATTTAGCTCAAATATCTCTTAGATAAAATTCGGAATAGCCTCTCTACCTTTTCAAGATAGGTGTAATGTCTGCGTACACACTATCTTCTCTAAATCCGTTTGTGAAATACTTTTAAACGGTGGCTTAAAAGTAAATATATGTGTTATTAGTGGCCAACCGTGCACTTCTCCCTCGTTATTTAGCTCAAATATCTTTTAGATAAAATTCGGAATAGCCTCTCTACCTTTTCAAGATAGGTGTAATGTCTGCGTACACACTATCTTCTCTAAATCCGTTTGTGAAATACACTAGGCTTGCTATTGTGATTGTTATTGTTGTTATCTGTTAAATAGAATAAGCATACAAAATAAGCTTGAAGAGTGACTGTCGAGAATCTTAATTGAGAAACCCAACATGCATCCTACTCATTGACTCCGAGTTTCTGAAGTCCGATCAAAATTTAATATGAAAGTCTGCAACTAGTAGCATTATTTAAATGCTCGAGCTTTGTGATGATTTAATGAAGATGCGCTGTACCTGTACGCACAACTCCGAGAGAAATAGAAAATCTCCTACCCTTTCAAACAAACAATCGACTCTTCATCAATTTCGTTTGCTTCAGCAAACTAGATTAATAACAAGTGGAAATAGGGAACATCATTTTATCATGGATAGCTAAATTTTTTTTTTTTTTTCACATTTCCCGAGGATCTATTGGAAACTGTCTCTCTGTCCCATCGGGATAGGGGTAAAGTCTGCGTACCCACTACCCTCCCCGAACCCCATTTGTGAAATTTTATCGGGTCGTTGTTGTTGTTGCTGCCGTTGCCGTTACTGCATCGACCTAGAAATTTCTTTGTTTTTACCAGCCCTAGAGTTTGGTGAATGGTTTTCACACAATAATATTTACACAGCTTGATACCCTTTTGGTTTCTAAAATATCATAAGGCCTCTTGATCTCCTTCACATGTTCAACCCCAATTATTATATCAAAAGCCCCCAACGAAATGATTGATACAGTTGTAGCGACAAACATATGTAAAACTGAAAGCTGCAAGTGTTTGCACAACCTTTTAATTCTATATAATAAGCAAAAAATACTACAGTCAAAAGTACCACGCCCCCTAATTAGTTTCATAGGTTTAGCAATCATTCCAATGAAAGAAATCCTCATTTATCCACTAACAATTTCCTTCTACTGCTGAACCCTCAGTTGTAAAGTTAAAGTTGCCCCAAGGCGCTACCTGCATCCTTACTCTCTTAAATAACAATTGGTAGCCCCTGCCATTTCCTCCCAAGTATGCCCTTGCTTCCAATGGAAGAGACACAAGTCTTAACACATAATGTTACACAAGGTTTCCCACCAATCTATCGACTAGAAAGTAATCCCACTAGTGAGGTCCATCATCAATTCCATATGTGCATAAAATTGGAGAAATAAGTCTTTGTAACAAAATTTATTATTCAAAATCTGAGCAAGCTATGCTCTCTTGTTAACATAATATTTAACTACAACACCCTGAAAGTATCCACCAAATAAGTAGTAACTTAAGGCCACTAACGGAAAATTTGGGAAGACACTAGGAATATCTATTCAGAAGAGAACTTCACATAATAAGAAAACAGCTGCAACCGCTTCCGGACTTTTACCATTATTTCGTTATCATTTGAAGAAACCAACCAACAATTCTCAATTCCTTCAGTTAAAGAAAACCAAGCCACAAGAACCTGAGATTTAAAAAAATAAGGTAAAACTTATTTCTCAATTTTAAAAAGAGACATACACAAGTATGAAGACTAGAGTACTGTAATGGTATACCACATATTTAAACAAATAACTGCCACCCGTCAAGCTGCAGGTATCCTGCAAGTGAAGCAGCATGAGCAGGCGTTTGTCATGTAAACCTGTGGATAAAATGTCCAGAATGAGAACAGAATACAATGAATATAGATCCGGAAGAAACGAAAAACATAAGATGTATAAATCGGTAGTAGAAAAATGCCCATATACTGTTCCCTTCAGATAAATTCCTTCGACTTCAAAATTCCCCCTTTATGGGCCAGTAAGAGTGCTTTTTTTTTTTTT